TACATGGATTTGATATGATTTGGGTTACATGGATTTAATATGATTTGGGTTATATGGATTTGTTATGATTTGGGTTACATGGATTTGATATGATTTGGGTTATGTGGATTTGATATGATTTGGGTTACATGGATTTAATATAATTTGGGTTATATGGATTTGTTATGATTTGGGTTACATGGATTTGTTATGATTTGGGTTACATGGATTTGATATGATTTGGGTTACATGGATTTGATATGATTTGGGTTATATGGATTTGATATGATTTGGGTTACATGGATTTGATATGATTTGGGTTACATGGATTTGATATGATTTGAGTTACATGGATTTGTTATGATTTGGGTTATATGGAGGTATGCACTTGTCGAAACTCATTTTAACTCTTAGTGTCTGGAAATCACACCTCAAAACGTTGTTGAATCATATTGCTGGTCCCTTCCATTACCTACTTCACAAACCCGGGGAATGTATCTTTTGGTACGCAGAAAACTAACAAAACGATGAGGCCAGAACTACAGCAACCAGCCCAAGTACCACTTCCAGCTCCAAGAAAGCTGTGTGACGCTGAAGAGACTGTTCAACCTCTCTGAGGCTGGTGTTCTGATCTTCAAATGGGGATAAAAGATCCACCAGTCTGAGTGAGTGTGTCCAGCAAACGGTGTGTTCACTGGCTAGAGCTTCAGCAGGAAAATCGCACAAACTGGGTGGCGCTATACCACAGAGCTTCACTGTCTCATCATCCTAGAGGCCAGTCGTCTGAAATCCAGGTATCATAAGGCCATGCTCCAACTCTGGCTGGAATCCGCCTTGCCTACTCCTGGCTTCTGGTGGTGCCGGCGATCCTTGCAGCTCTTGGCTCTTAACGTGTCCCTGCGACCTCTGCCGTCACCCTGAGGCCGTGCTCGCGCTGCCAGTCTCTGTCTTCATATGGTGTTTTCTTCTTTTTGTAAGGGCGGCAGTTATATTGGGTTAGAAGCCACCCTACTCTAATATGGCCTCATCGAATTACACCTGCAAGGACTCTGTGTTTAAATAAAGCCACATGCAGAGGTACCCGATTTGGGACTTGAACTTTTTGAGACACACAATTCAACTCATAGCAGAAAAGAATCAGGGTTCTCCAAATTCTGTGTCAATGAGATTGAGCCACTCAGTTATTAATGGCATTCACTCATTTCTGCTGCTAATTTTGAAGAACTTGTAAAAGGGGTGAGGGATCTGATAGAAAGCCCTCCCTCATGTAATTGATGAGATAAGGATTCTAATTTTCCCCACAGACACTGGAAAGGGCCCCTGAGCTGTCAGCCAAATCAAATTGCCAGTGGAAAGCAGGCGACCCTCAGGGAGCCGTGGGGGTTAGACGCGTCTGGGCCTGCCCCGCTCGTGGTGGCGCCGACCCACACAGCATACCTTCCTGGAGCTGGCGTGACTCCTGGGAGACCACAGTTTCTGAGAAAATAAAAAGCAAGTGTAAACCAGACGGGTCACAAAGACTCCGCGGGGAGCTGGCTGCGGACACCCATGCAGTCCAGTCCTGTGGGCACACAGTTGGGTCTTACGGGAAAAAAAAAGGCTTAAGTTAAAACTGCAACAGCTTTTCCAGGAAAGAATGTTTTAAACCCAGGGACACAAAGAGCGCTGCTTTGGAAACCTTCTAGCAGAGTGGAACATGAAGGCGAGCACACCCCCGCCCAGGGTTGACTCGGGGAGGACCCAGGGACCTCGTGCTGGAGCCCGGTGGGAGCCAGGAACTGCCTTCTGTGGATTACAGCTGAAACCAGTTGACATTCAGAATCTCTGACAAAAGGCCAGTGACTAAGACCCCAGCTTCCTCAGTTCCCAGACCCTGTTCAGCAACAAGGTGCTGGCAAAACCCATATGAGCCAATCCCACTTCCAGGGACACCCCTCACACATAGGCGTGGGAGCCATGTTTCCCGCGCCCATCAGAACCAGCGATTCTGAATCTCTCTTCCCACTGCAGTGGCCCCACAAGAGCCCCCCTCGTGTGGCTCAGCCAGGCTGGGGCTGCTGGGGCTGCTAGGGAGCCGCCGTGTTCCCTGGGCTCCACCCTGCCTGCCTCAGCAGCCACTGCTCCTGACTTCCATTTTTCCATGCAGTTTCTCCAGCAAAGGCCAGGTGAGGGATGAGGGGGGTAAACCAGGAGAAACTCTGGAATCTAAAGGAAACACAGAGCACGTTTTCCTAAATGCTCCAGAGGGTGTGTGTAACCCTTTCTGCGGACAGAAGCTTTGTCAATACTGCGCTTAGTTCCCGAAGTATTCGGTATCCTAACTCAGCAGTGAGGCTTTCTCTAGTCTGTGTGAGCTGGTCTGGGAAGACAAGCACCCTTCCCAACTTAGTCTACACAGAGAGTGCTTTGTTCTAAGAATTCAAAACAACAACAACGAAAAAACTTATGAAAACAGCTTTGAAACACAATTCATCAGCACGTTTTCTTTTCATGGCATTTATATATTAAAAACACGTGCATCTGGGTTCTCTAGCACTAGAATAAGACTTACAAGCATGAGACAGCATGGGGAGAAATGCCAGATATAGGTGAAGGGGAGGAAGGCAGCAAATCACACTGCCACGTGTGTACCTATGCAACTATCTTGCATGTTCTTCACATGTACCCCAAAACCTAAAATGCAATTAAAAAAAAACATTAAATAAATAAAAAATAAACGACTTACAAGGATGGAAGCCTACACATTTGCAGAGTGTCTGTTTTGCTCCAAAATGGACCACGGTAGCACTGTGGCATCGTGAGGGGGTGAGGTGCTACAGATGGCACACTCCAAAGGCTGTGACTTATAAAAACTGGCAAGAGACAGTCCCCAGGAAATCCAGGATTGATCACTGAGTTCTCATGTATGAAAGTTTGTGGGATTTGTAATCACAGGAGCAACCTCCCAGGAAACCGTGAAAGCCATTTTTCCACCGTAGTTCTGTACTTAATGGACTTTGCCTCCCGTAATTCAGGAAAATGTCTTTGTTGTGCACAGTGGAGGCTGAGTGCCATTGAGAATGTGTGTCCGACAAAGGGCCTCCGGATTTGAGCCCTGCAGCCTGTCTCCCAGGCATTCCCCACTTCAAGAAGCGGCTCTAAGAACAGATTAATGACTGGGTGCCAAGGAGCAATGAGGTCCACCCATCTTGTCTAGGGGCTGAGCTAATCTCCTTAAACCTTTGTACAATAGCGGGGCCAATCACCCAAATGATGCTGTCAATGTGCTTTTAAAACCCCACTTCAAAGAGGGAGATCAAATGGGGGGTAATTGAAAGGGACAGCAATGTGAGGGGGTTCCTGAGACGCCCCCCCGTGATGACTATAAATACAGCATGCACCACCCAGATGGCAGGAGGGCAAGCGTGGCGATGGCTAGGCCCCAGAAGCGAACTCTGCAGGAAGGATGAGGTCTGTGTGGCTGCTGCTGTTGCTTTTGCTGTTGGTGGGATTTGAGGAGAAACTACCTGGCTGGGCTCCCTGTCTTCTTCTCCTGCTGAAGTCTCTGCAGCCAGGACCCTCCCATCCTGACAGTCCCTGTTCTGCATCTTGAGGTCCCTCTGACCTCCTGGCTGACCCTCCATGAAACCCAGGCTCACCCAGAACCTGAAGACACTCTATTCATCCATTTGTGCTACTTAATAAAATGAATTCTGGGCCAGGCATGGTGGCTCATGCCTGTAATCCCTGCACTTTGGGAGGCCGAGGTGGGTGGATCACGAGGCCAAGACCAGCCTGGCCAACATGGTGAAACCCTGTCTCTACTAAAAGTACAAAAAAATTAGCTGGATGTGGTGGCACCTATAGTCCCAGCTACTCGGGAGGCTGAGGCAGGAGAATCGCTTGAACCCAAGAGGCAGAGATTGCAGTGAGCCGAGATCGCACCATTGCACTCCAGCCTGGGCAACAGTGCGAGACTCCATCAAAAAACAAAAAGAAACAAAAAACAATGAATTCTGAACATCTCAGCAGCTACAGTCTCGGTGGTTCAGTGGGGTGGACCAGATTGCTGCTGCCAAGTCTTCACCCTCCCTGCACTAGATGCGTCATCATGGACCGTGAGGTCCCTCCTACTTCTTTGGAGAGCGCCAGCCCATCCCCACCATTGAGGTTGGGATTGCCTGTGTAACCTTCATGCATCTACAGCCTTCATTTTTGGCACTGAAGGCCAGAGGAGAGCTGGTGCAGTTCTGCTTCAGGGGTGGGTCAGCTGGGCTCAGTTCAGGTGTGTTCCATGCTGGTCAGCCTCACTGCCAGGGGGCCACCTGAGGCACACTGTCTCCTGACCGAACTCAGAGAGCAAGAGGAGTGAGGAGATGTGCTCGTGCCCTTACGTCAGCCTGTTCACATGCACAGCTGTCGGTGGACACAACCAAGGCACAGTCCAACGACCCTGACCCTAGTCCCAGGGACAGATGAGGACTTGGGGGCAGGAATTCAACCCTTCCCAAACCCTAGACCCTGTACAATGGAAGGGCAACTAAATACACAGGGAGACAGGCAGACTCACAAGTTATTAGAATAAAAGTCAGTGCACACCCCAGGCAACTGCAGGGGCCATGAATCCTGGAAAGACCCGTTTTTTATGGAGACAGCCACCAGCTTGCCGAAGCTGAGCTTCCTGTGGCCCTGATTCTGCATTACTGAACTACTCATAGAACCACTGTTTTGAGCCTCAAAGCTTCTGTCCTGGTCCCATTGCCTGACTTTATAACAACCCTGAAATACCCACCGGGCCTGGTGATCTTCTCCAAGATGTAGAGGTCCGTCTCAGGCACCGAGCTGGGCCAAGCCTGTGCCCAGCCCGCCTGTCGGACTTTGGAGTCCACAGTGTCAAAGTCCTCCTGCATTTGCACCCTGTGGCCTGATCCCTGACATCACCTCATCCCCAGACCACCCAACCCATGACTCCTGGACACAGAAAGAAATATCTTCTCTGTCAGAAACAGGCGCCAATACCCAAATGCAGCCAGAATCCACAGTCACACCAGAAAATGTTGCTTTGACGATTCTCCCCAGGAATTTTGACAATCAAGCATAGAAACCACCACAAAAGCAAATGCTGAGATTGAATTTTCTTTTCCTTTTCCTTTTCCTTTTCTTTTCTCACCAATGCATCCACTTGTTTGGACCAGCAGGTCCTAAGGATAGGCAGGAGATGAGTCACATCTGACTTCACAAAAGTGCTTTAGCCTTTCACAGTCTCCATTTAAAGCCAGCCAGGCCTTTTAGAATTGCCCATCTCCCAGGAACGTTTGTAACAGGCTAGGAAGGAAGTGTGTGCTCAGGTCGGCCGGCCCTGGCTCCCGGAGGCAGGCTCTCCCGTGCAGTTGCAGCTGCCAGCCCCAGGCTCAGGCTTCATAGTTTCTCATGCCTTCAACAAGTCCTCCCTGGAGGAGGGGCAGTGCGCAGAAGGCCGCACAAATGGCACATTCTCCTTCTAATGAGCACAGCGCACTAGCGTCTCTCGGAGGGGGCCCGGCTCTCCTCACGTTCCTCTGGGCCCAGGCTCCCTGCCAGCCTTTTCTCTTCCCCAGAGCATTCAATCGCTGTCAACAGAGCCAGACAAGAATAGAAACTGCTCAGAGACTCTCTTTTGTTTTGCTGGGACACTTCGCACATTCTCATGGATGCTTCAAAGGAAGGCAATTATCTGATCGTTCTTGGGAGCAATTAAAATGTGGAAGGATACATCCTGCTTTCACCCTTGGAGTCCGTCTTTCCACATCACATGGAAATGTGGAAGGATACATCCTGCTTTCACCCTCGGAGTCCGTCTTTCCACATCACATGGAAATGTGGAACGATACATCCTGCTTTCACCCTCGGAGTCCGTCTTTCCAAATCACATGGGCCATCCAATACAACATCAACAAACCCTACATAACCCTCCAAGGAACGAGGTGTGCCCAAGGCACAGAGGTTTGTATGGATGATGGGCTTCGCTGGAATTGCACCCCTCTAGAGGAGACTTTTTAAACATATTCCTAGTTGCAAGTCCAGGAGCAAGGGAAGTGAGACCCTCAGGGTTCTCTCAGAGCCAGGGATGGGGAGGCGAGCAGAGACCTGAAGCAGTGCTGGAAGATTCGTAGACCCTTGGAAGTACACGAAAGCTCGCTTTGAGCTGCTCCTTGATTCATGGGAGTCTCTCTAGTACAGATAACTCCCTTCCTAAAATGGGAAGTGGGCTGTCTGCACAGAGAGAAGCGCTAGTCCCAATACTGTACCTCTGTCCATCCCTCCAGAAAGCCCAAGGAAGGGGGCAGGTGATTCACCTGCAAGTGATCTTCGGCCTAAAGCAAAGAGATGGATGGTCAAAGCCCCTGCACAGTTGATCCTGCTGACCTCCATGCAACCACGTTACTTACCTCTCTGTAAAGGCGACACAGTACGCCTGTAAAGGAGCACGATCTGGCTGTTTGTTGTAGCAAGGGTTAAATGAGGTGGGACGTGCCACACGGGTGATATGCGCCCAGCTCACAGCAGGCACTTTCATCAGTGGTCACCAGCCGATGTGCTAGTGAACCTGAGGGTGGCCCTTACCAACGTGAAAGGCTGGGGTGTTTGTAATCATCACTCAGCCACAGCAGAAAGAAATCTAGGCTATTTGTTGAGACTCAGCATGTTTGGTCGGGGAAAAATAGAATCCATCCTCACGCACCTTTAAATCGTATCTCAACAGAGGGTTGAAGTGTTGGTTTGGGGTGTGAGAGTGATAGCTTTATTCATTCAGGAGTCTCTCAAAGAAGAGGATGGAGAGACAGACACCATTCCGTGAAATGATCACTTTTCCCAGGCAATCCCACCAAGGAAGGCCAAAGAACCTCCCCCGGAAGGTTCCCCTTTGGAGATGGAGATCACAGCCACCTGCCAATATAACCGTGATGGTTGTTTTTAGGTGGAATGTCCCACCGTTTCCTATACCTCACTGTCACCCTCATTACAGCATTAGGATGGAATTACCTTGCTCTCTTTTGAAACACTAGCTTATCCCTGGTGCCAGCGACAAATACGAGCAGCTTGTCTGAGGGAAAGGTCCCTAGTTAGGAGTTAAACTTCCCCCAGTCACAGAGCCCTTTGCTTAAACAATGAAAAATTTAGGTAAGGTCTGGATTCAACTGTTTCCCTCCCTTTGAAACGACTGGAAGTTTAGTCATAACAAATAAGAATGGCTCTGGTATCATGTAGTCACGACATAGCACTTTTATATATTTTTATCTTTCACTTTACATCTGACTACATGGACACGCTACCTTCAGTTCAACCCCGGGTTAAATCGAAACCTCTCGACCCTTCACTTAAAGACAAATGCAAGGCAGCTGCTGTGCTGGGGAACTGCGAATAGCAAACGGGGCCATTATTTGAAAGGTTTCACATTCTGATGAGCAGAAAGATTATTTTGGAAAATCTATAGCAGAGAGTAGTATAATTATAACTTAGACTTGCGTGGTGCTCAGTCCAAACTCATCTCCACACGGAACGTGCTTTTCTAACAATAGCATCCCTCCAAAAAAGGGCAGCCTACAAATGAACATGAGCGTAAGATACGTTTCCTGTCCAGCCAAAAATAAACCTGCAGACATTTGAAAGCAGCACAGGATCCTTTCTCACAGGGAAAACACACTCACCCATGTCGTCGGGCCAAGGCTTTGACATCTCAAAAATCATTATGGTGAAAAATAAATGCCACCTATACTATGAGCGACCGTTAGAAATCCTTGAGAAAAACGCCTTGAGTAGCGAACTCTAAACGTCCACTTGCTAAAAACGAAACCATTTCCCTTGGGCATTGTTAAAGGTCAGTTGTTTTCTCCAAAAACGATGTTGAAGTCCTAACCCCCAGGACCTCATAATGTCACCTCATTTGGAACTAAAGTCCTTGCGGGTGTGATTAATTAGAACGAGGTCGCATTGGAATGAGGGCCCCTCATCCAGCACAACTGTCGTCCTTACAAAGAGGGAGACGCCGCGTGAAGGCCGAGTCACACTAGAACCCCAGTGTGCAGTGAAGGCGGAGGTCGCAGCCAGGCATCTGCAAGCCTGCAGGAGGGTCCGCGGGCACCGTCTGCCCCACCGGAAACCAGGAAGAGTCAGGACAGCTTCTACCCGCGAGCCTCACAGAGAGCCTGGCCTTGACATCACCTTGATCATAGAAGTCCAGCCTCCAGGGCGATGAGACATGAATTTCTGCAGTTTTCAGCCAGGCGGTTCGTTTCAGCAGCCCTAGGAAGTGAACATGGGCACATACGCGAAACCAACACCACTGAGGATTTTGCTCTCTAGGCAGTAGATGTGAACCGGCCTTCTACATTTTTCTTTCTGGCTGCATGTTAGGCGCTCCCAGCTTAGGGGTGGGTGTGCAGGGAGTGAGGAGGGAGGCGCTTCTGCTTCTGTGGCTTCCCCAGGGTCTCTTCTCACCACATCTTCTGCCGCTCTGTGGATCCACTGCCCCAGGCGCAGCAGCCGGGCGTGGTGGAGTGTCCAGCACCGTGTCGCCACCAGCCTTCTGGGCATTCCAAGCTCCTGGTAGGATCGGGATGTGGTGTGGCTGACCCTAACTACCCAGGAGAGGGTGAGCGATCCTACAAAAGACCGAGACATCTTCTCTGCCTTCTCATTTCCATGTCCACAAAAAAATCAGCACAGTGGACACTAGAGCCGCCCTCCCTTCCTTCTCTTCCCCACCAACACACACTCTGGCAGTCCTGGCACCAGTGTGGGACCCACCCCGCACACACTGCATGCACCCCACCCCACCTCCAGGGAGAAGCACATCCGTGAGAGGAACGGCTCTGTCCTCAACTCAGTAGGAGCCAACACCCACCCCTCCCCTCTGTCGCTACTTCAAAAGGTTTTCTTCCTTTGCTTGTTTCTACTTACCATTAACGTTGTTCAGGCTGGATAAGCTCAAGGCATGTCCCTTAACATATTGGGTCTATTTTTACTCTGTCATTTTATAATTAAACCGGGTCTGACTGAAGTTACCTTTAGCCCATATCTGCCTAATCCTACCAAGTCCTAGCCATGAAACAGGGGATATGTGTATAGATGAAAACAGTGGGTTAAAAGGTTGTTTCCAGAAGTAGTAAGGCATCCACGCACACACACACACACACACACATACACACATAAACGCACACGCACACACATACACACACGCGCGCGCACACACATACACACATGCGCGCGCACACACACACATACACACGCGTGCGCACACACACACATACACACATAAACGCACACGCACACACACATACACACACGCGCGCGCGCACACACACACACACACACGAATTCTCCCCACTGAAGATCTTTTGGAACCGTGGATAGAGGGAAGCACTGCGAGAACCGTGTGACAAAAAGACTCCAGTGGGAGATCTCCCTCCAATCCTAATGTGTTTCCCTACGGAGCGTCAGTGTGCACTCCCTGGCCTTCCTTCAGCACCTGTACAGGACTGGGGTCCCTGAGTATTCTGTGCACTCCTTAGTCTTGGTCTGTTACAATCACCCTCGTGTTGCTGGCTTCTGACTGTCTCTCAACTGTGCATGAGTCAGGATGCTGCAGTGAACGGCTGACATTAAGGACCTTAGGATGAAGGGACATTTTACCAGGATGGGGGCTGGGTTTAGGAACACCGGTGAAGTTTAGTCCACTAGCCCAGGGCTACCTCAGCAGGCCACCTCAGGGCTTCGGCAAGTGGGGAGGAGTCTCGCCCATGGCCCCAGAGGGCAGCCCCATAGTTTTTGTTTGTTTGTTTTCTTTTGAGACGGAGTATTGCTCTTGTCGCCCAGGCTGGAGTGCAATGGCATGATCTCAATTTGCTGCAACCTCTGCCTCCTGGGTTGAAGCAGTTCTCCTGCCTCAGCCTCCCAACTAGCTGGGATTAAAGGCATGCACCACCACGCCTGGCTAATTTTGTATTTTTAGTGGAGATGAGGGTTTCTCCATATTGGTCAGGCTGGTCTCGAACTCGCAACCTTGGGCTCCCAAAAGGTGATCTGCCCACCTTGGGCTCCCATAGTGCTGGAATTACAGGCCTGAGCCACCGCACCCGGCCGGAAGCCCCATAGTTTGGGAAGGTTTGGTGGTGACCAGAGCTGCACCTGCCAGCAGAAAAACCCAACAAACACCCGACGGAGCCCTAACAGGAGGAGCTGAGTCCTCCTCTTCCCGCTGTTGCCCCCCATCCAGCCTGTTAGCCAGACCCCACTGGACCCAGCCACAATGGTGTCTGCTTCTGTGGCACGGGCCACCTCTCAGGGCACACAGCGGGCAGAAAAGCTGGTGCTGGGCTGCAGAGGATGCCTTTCTAAAAGCTTCAGTTATCAGTGGATGGAGACAGCAGTTAAGCAAATCAACGCCTATCAGGGAATCCCAGTCAGCATTTTCCTTTTCCTTTTGGAACTGAGCTTCTCAGGAATAGTGTGCGGTTCCCCACGCTGAATCTTATTCAGTAAGCCACAGGACCCCAGGCAATCAGAGGAATGCCTCTTTTTAAAGGAAGACATCAAAAACGGCAGCTGTGAATGCATCTCCTGGCTCACGGGCAGGCACAGGAAAAACTAGGAGAGGGCAGGTGAAGGAGCCACCCCTCCAGGCCTCGCTGGCCAGAGCCACAGCAGAGAGCACTGAAGGCTGAGCCCCTGACAGAGGCAGGCTGTTAATTACACAGACAGGAGCAGAGAGGGGTGGGGCCTAGGGACCCCTCCCATCCCCACAGTCCTGCCAGTTGCTCAGTGCCATCATTTATCCGGGCCCACAGGCACTGCCGTCTTCATGGCTCCTCCTGGCCTCATTCACATCGCTGAGCTGACTCTCAAACACAGCTGTTCTCCTCGGCCCACTCAGTGGATTTCACCCTCTCATCTGTCAGTTTGATTTTCAAAAGCTTCTTCCTTTGTCCAGAGGAAAAAAGAAAATGAGTGTGTAGGCTCATCTCTAAGGAGAGTGGCAGAGATGTGACTTTCGAGTCCACCAGAGGCTGCGGGAACTGAGGCAGAAGCTCACCATCCCCCGGAGAGCTCAGCTGGACAGGACCCAGAGCTCAGCAAAGGCTCTCGGCTGGAGTCAGGACTCCTGGAGCCAGGGAGGCCAGGGCACAGGGGAACAGTGCCTGCCCCGGGTGGGGCTGCCTGTTTCTCACTGGTGAGAACAGCAGTGTTGGTTGCTAATGATGACACCTCACAACGCCCCCTTAGAAACCCTCGCATGTAACGGTTCCATATCATCCCTGCCCAGGAAGGAGAGAGCTACATTTAAAAGGAGAAGGCAGGGAGAGGGTGGAAGACCCTATGGGCACCGCTTCTTTTCTGTCTCATCCTGAAGCTCATATGCAGAATTGCTTTTTCGTTAAATACTGGGGTTGTAGGACACATGCCCTCACCTGTGATGGAAATTCTGGCAATGTCACATAGAGCTGGTCTCTTCCGCATGTGCTGTGATGAATGGAGTGCTGCTTTTCCAGCATTTCCCGAGCCCACTTCGTTTCTTCTTCCATGTAGTTTTGAGCAGCTCCAATAACCTGGTGGTAAAGGAGGGGGAGGCTGGAGAAAAACTGAGCCCAGAAAAAAATGTTAAATACTGGGGGAAAAAACTCTCGGGAATTAGAATTTCATTTGATGTCTAGAAAGTCAAGTAAGATGCCAATAATATTGTGAAAGGTTAGAATTATATGGTCCTATTTCTCTCTTAGGAACGTGTGATCAATCTTTAGCATGATGGTAAGGCAATTATAGCAGTTAAGAATATCATGTAGGGAGATTCTGGCAGATGACAAGAACAGTACCTCATTTCTGTGCCTATATTCGCATCCCTTTGCCATGTGTCCATGCCGCCCCTGTCCCCGCCTCAGGAGGTGGAGTTCAGGACACCGAGCCCTGGATCTGGGCTTGGCCATGGGCTCGCCTTTGGCCAGGGAAGCATCAGCCAGTGTGACATCAGCCGAGGCTAAGAAAGCGCATTTGCACGAGGCGTCTCTGCTGCTGCTCTTGGGAACTCTGTGACCGTGTGGCACCACAGGAACAGGGTGCCCTGCAGGGCGATGAGCAGCTCGTGCCTCCGGCCCCTCAGCCAGCGCCAGACATAAGTGAGGCAACTCACCATCCGCTGACTTGGGTGCTTGAATGAGCCAGCACCACGGAGCGCCATCCTGGGAGGCCCAGCTCAAATGACCTGCCCACATCCACACAACTGTCGGCTGGAGTCAGGACAGATAAAATGTCGGCAGATAAAACGGTTTGAGCCGTGTTTGGGTTGGTGAGTGTCACCTTGGTTGGTTCAGCCAAGGCTAACTGGCACACATATTCAGACATTGTTTCTCATGTGTGACGCGGCGATCGGGTCCCAAACAAACGTCAGTCGCTCAGAATAAAGTCAGGCAGGGAGCCCGAAGCCCCAGGAGCAGAACTCGGCTCCTACTCCCCGGGCGGCCGGGGTGCAGGGACACGGGATGTGTCACAAGTTGTCATTTCCATCTGGGAGATCTATTGGAATGCGTCTTACTTGGAAAATGAGTTTCAGTGTGATTGAAAAACTGGTTATGTGAAATTGCCTAAATTTTTATTTTTTATTTATAATTCTTAAAATTTTCTTGTACTTTCATAATAAAAGTGTAATTCTTATACTTTTTTGTTAATTTTTAAATTGATAAGAACAGATATTACACTCTATCTTAGCAGGGAAGCAATGATTTTTAATTTGTTTAAAGTGATAAGTGTTTTTCATATAATTGTGTTCAATTAAGCAGAACTGTCCCAATTGGAAAGGATGGAGTGAAATTGAATGCAAAAGTGGAACCAGGAATCTATCATTACACAACTAAAGCAAAACAAAATAAAGCATGCAGTATTAATAAGTGGGCTGTGTTTGGTGTTCACACTTCCCATGTTCCCGCATAAATGCCTGAGACACAGAGCCTCGAGTTGGAAATCTTGGCATCTTCAGAGAGGCTTTCCTTAACGTAACTCATGCAAAACAATTGGGGAAATTAAAAGGTCATGCAGGTGTTACTGTCCTTGTCTCACAAATCTTAAGTTACAAAGCCGGACATTCAGAGGAGTCAAGATTTCTAAGTCAGGGCTCAGGGTAGTGATAATTAAAATGGACTGTTGCTGGGCTGTGTTTCAATTACACCACCCAAAGCTCCTGCAATACTACCTGATAAGGATACAGAACCTATTAGGATGCTAATAATGTCTGCTGGCCTATTTAGGAAGCTATTTTGTAGTGACGAAGGTTGGCTTCCCTGGGACATTGTGTCATATGAGCCACGGGGGTCACACAGCAAGGAGGACATGAGTTTCCTTCTATTTATAACCAGTTTGCTACCAATGGCAACATGATGGAAATGAACAATCACATCTGCCGGGAAATCGTAGGCCTCATTTTTATTCTACTTTAGCCCACAGACCCTTGTGGAGTTAGAGAGGGTGTGGGGGAAGGACCCTGTGGGGTGTCACACTACCCAGGTGCCCACATTCAAACTCTTGTTACTCTTGTAATGTCCTAAGAACGTTACAGGAGTCATGTAATTTATCCACAACCCTGCAAACTTTTACAGGTGATGAAATTCAGTTCAGAGTAAGTAAATGTCCAGATTCACTTAAAGTTCAAACACAGGCAGTCCAGTTTCAAAGCCCTAAGTTTCTGTTGAATACACTGAAGCAGACGTCTAAGAGCGCCACGTGAACTCAACAGAGAATGTGGACGAGAAGTGCTCACTTCCCTGCACTCAGTGCAGACTGGACTATGCAGAGTGATCATTCCTATCCCTTATCACTAGCTCAGGCAGATTCCTGAGCTTTCGGATGCCTTTTAGGGACAAGAGAAAGTCCAGCCCTGTCTAGATAAAGCTATCCTCTTTATCTAGACCATCCAACACCCCCAGACCCCAGGCCCTGCTCATTCTTGGGCTGGGTGCCCATTCTTGTTGCAAGGACCCTCAGATTCAGCTCCCTGGAGTCCAGTATCCATGAACTTGGATCAGAGATACTGCACATGTTCACTTTCAACCTTCTGCAACGTGGCATTTCTTTCAATTATGACTAAAGGCCACAAACCGCTATTGGCAGTATCTGAGACTTTGTCACCAATAGAAAAAGCAGACATAATACTACAGTAATTCAGGTAGTATAAAATATTATTTATGCTCAGCAGTATTCTAAAATGCATCCCCTTCTAGATGGTATTATTTAATGTATCAATAAAGAAATATGTACATTACTATATTGATCATTTTTTTGTATTTTGACAAGTGCATTTTAATAGAGCCATTTTCTTTCTTTCGTTTTTCTTTCTTTCTTATAATACTATACATTTTGGTATGTCTTTTTAAAAATAATCATTTTTTTCTAAAAGATTTCCATTGGCTCTGTTGAATTGCCACAGCGTATAGAACAAACACACAAACAAGAGCTCTGGGCTGGAGGAACGGGAAGCAGGTGGAGCCTTTCTCTGCATCTTTCTCCTTCCTCCTCCTCTGATCCTACTCCTCCCAGCTGAGGACCAGGCAGTGTGAGGGAGAGGGGACCAGCCTTTCACAGCTGAGCTGTGGAAGTACAGGCCCTCCCCAAACTGCCCTGAGATTTCTGTGGTTCCCCAGGTGTTCTTCTTGCGGTGGTGAGAGGGGGTGTCTGCAGATGAGTTCTCCCCAGGCCCTCCACCCCTCAAACTCCTCTCTCCGTTCCAGCTTCAGTTCCTGCCCCCTGGGAACCTCCAAATATCTGAGACAGGTCTCTGTCAATTTAGGAATCTTATTTTGCCAAGGGAGGGATGCACGCCTGTGACATAGCCTCAGGGGGTCCTGACGACATGTGCCCAAGGTGGCTGGAGAGACATAAGACATCAGTCAATCAATATACGTAAGATGCACATTGGTTCCATCCAGAAAGGAGGGACAACTTGAAGCAGGGAGGGGGCCTCCAGGTCACAGGTGTGTGAGAGACACGTGGTTGTACTCTGCTGAGTTTCTGACTAGCCTTTCCAAACTGGGAGGCAGGTTTCCCTCAGCAGCTCCTAGCCTCACTTTTCCTTTTAGCTTAATGATTTTAGGGCCCCAGTATTGATTTTCCTTTCGCACCCCAAAGCATGCCTCACAGCTCTCAGAGCTGGCCCCTCTCCCCAGAGAAGACTCTCAAGCCAAGCTTCCACAGGCCCCCAGACAAAGCTTCCAGCCCTGGGCCCCTCAAAGCTATGGATGCGCCCTGCTCCTCCAGCTCTGCACTGCTCCCTCAGATGGGTGCTGGGGACACGACCAGAATCCCAGTCAGGGCTAGAGATGCCATGCTTCCCCTCTTAGAAGACACCTACAAACTCCGAGCTATTCCCATGGTCCTGGGGCGTGGGGGCAGAAAACTTGGCAAGAAAGATGTCCCCTCCCAGAGGGGAAAGCACAGGACCCCTGTAGACTGGGGTCTCCTGCCTTCTCCTTAACTCTCCTCTCCTCTCTTCTTCCAGAAATGGGTATGGGCTGGAGAGGGCTGGGGTGGCTGATGGAGCTGGGCTCTGAGCAGAACGGAAACCGTGCCCCCAACTGCTGGCAGCTCTCTTCAGAATGTGAGGCACTGTGGCCTCTTTGTCTTCAGCTGGCACTCTAATTAGGAGGTCGGACAGTGGGGGAAGTCTCAGCCAATATATCCTGTTACCCCAGCAAAGCTGAGAAGCCATCGTCACAGGACTCCTATGCTTCTGAGGGCAGTCCCCTCACCACATTCACAACCTCAGCTCCTCATGTGTCCCGGAAACACTCCCCTCTATGCAACAAGGTGAGGCTCCCAATCCTTCCTATACTTGATAAATGTGGGGCAATAGCTGTTAGCAGTGACAGGATGGAAGGCACAGGGTGCTAGAGGTCAGATTCCTTTAAGTGCCAAAGAGGACCTCTTCCTTTAAGAAGAAACCCCCAATGCCAGTAAGGACGCATATGGTACCACGAATACCCATTTGAATTCCTTAAAAATGTGTGTTCCCCCTGTATTTTTACTGTTATAATTCATATCTGCGAACTCTGGTGAAAGGCTTCATTTAGTATGTTTGGAATAATTCTCCGTCCACTTTGTTTCCAACACAGTTTTCCGTTAAAAAGAAAAAAATAAATGCAGGGACCTGGCCATAGACCCTAATTAACACCTAGTAACCTGCTTTGGGGCAGTTTTGGTAAACACTGAATTAAAAAGGGCAATGCCGCTGGAAACTGCACCTAAGCCATCCTGCAGCGGTGGAACTTCGCAATCAGGGCCCGGGTGCCACCTGCAGCCTGTCCTGGGAACGCGCCACAGATCGCAAGCCGTCCACCCACGTGCAGATACACGCTGTTGCATGGGCGTGTCTAGAGAAGCCTGCTTCAAAACCAGTCTGCAGGATGTTCTGATTTGCATCGGATGAATGACTGTCCCTTAAGGCGGGGCGCCTAGGTACAGGCGGGGCGCCTAGGTACAGGTGGGGCGCCACTGGGCCCAAGCAGCAAGTCGTGGGGAAACGTGAAACAAGCAAAAACTGTCCCCAGGGAAACGAGATAAAACACAAAACCGAATTTAAGAAGTCATCTGCTGCTCCGCTTCAAACTGGAAGTCTAAAAAAGGCATTTCCTGACGCTGGTGAGTGACTCAGTGTCACCGTGACTCACCGCGCCCGGCTGCCCGCTAGGCGGGAGGGGGAGGCAGATGCTGCGGGCGGCGCGGGGGGCCGGGCCCGCGCGCTGCTATTTCGGGCGAGTCTGCGGCGGGCAGGGCCCGCGGTCCACGCGCACTCAGGAAGTACAAATAGGGCGTGCATCAGAGGAAGCGCTCCCCACGCAGAGGCTGTGGGAAAGTGATTCAGAGCTGCTAGAATCCCCCTCTCCCGCGCCCTTCGCAGCGCAGCGAGGGAGGGAGGTGGGGACGGAGCGCGCAGGGGCCTCCTGCAGGTGCGCGGGGCAGGCGGGCAGGCAGCGCGTGCGCCCAGGGGGCCCGGGTGGCCCTGTGACGGCCTCCCGCGCACACGCAGCGGGCCAGGGCGCACCCAGAAGCCCGTTATGCAAAGACAAGGCTTCTCCCAGCCTAAAGCAAACTCATCCACGCAACGTCGCTAGCGAGTTCTGTTTCCCTGTTTCTGGGAATCTGTGACTGGCAACACAAATGTCCACGTGACCACTGCCCTGAACTGCACGGAGAAAAGGGCCGAGGACCCGGGAAGGAGCTGGTATGACCGCCTGCGAGTTCACAGGGTGCCACGTGCTCCGCTGGAGAGACCCCAGCCTCACCAGAGCTCCTCTCTCCAGAAGCCCCTCCCTCTCCATCCCTCCCGAGGCCAGGGCCGTGTGTCCACCCATGTGAAGGTGTAAGGACAGAGGGAGAGGTTCCCACATGAACCTACTGGCGAAAAGTCTTGCAGTAAAAAT